ATGCGTTTAGAATTTGTTCTCGCAACAAATGCAATACCGATCAGGGAACTGAAAAAGTAGCTGCACTGAAAGGAAGAAAAATTCCTGTTTCTGGAAATACGACCAATATCTCGCATCTTGCGACCTCAACTTGATTGTGGCAATAATCGAGTCCCACCGCTAAAAAGACGGCACCATCATTCGATGCAGCTTCTCCTGTCTGGGACGAAGTGGAAGCCCAGTTCCGAGGAAAATCGCTTCCCAGTACGTCAGGCTTTCAATGCTTGACGTATGAGGCAATTATCACTTTCCTAACTCACACGGACAACTACAAATCTGCAGAAGCAGAGCCGGTGGACGAAATTTATGACATTAAGTTCTTTCCATCGTACATTAATAAGGTGGCGAAATGGGGATCGACGATCCACTGGTACGGCAGTCATAACGGAAGGAGACACCCGTCGCTTGTCGACCTGGCACGCAAATGCCCGCGAATACATTGAACTTTCGTCCCGTATGCTCGACTCTTTTCGAGAGATGGACTTTCCTCAAACGAACATCGTCCATGCTTTGCGATAGATATCGTCGATAAGATCTCTCTCCTAGCTTTGAACAACGAAATACCATGACCTCATGCATTCAAGATCAAGTCAGAATCATTACCAAAATAAAGAGGTTTTCTCATGAAATAAATGCGCTATTATTACCAACCACCCCAGATTGATCCCAGCCGATATCGGCACCTGTTCACTTCTAAACGTGTTTGTTGGAACACGTAATTTTTCCTTCCATGATGAAATTATCATAATTATCATAACTATGTTATTACCGATCCAAAGATTCTCATTTTCTATTAGATAATTGGTAATGAAGAATTGTATCTCTGTCCATATTATTTATATACCTCATAGAATAAAAACGTTATTCAGGATTTTCTGGTTGTAACCTAATGTTCACATGAGTATTTCAAAGGCAGGGAACTTCATCGAGCATAACACATCCGGTCAATGGTTGCATTTGAGAGTTAAATGAAGATTAAAAGTAGGTAGAGCAAATATGTAGGGAGCGAAGCAAAAATTGCAAATATTGACAGCAATATGTCGATTCAATGTGTTTCCTGAGAAACTGTCTGTTCTATATGTGCTCCTCACGATTCTAAGACACACCGCTGAATTTCTCAATATTGAAATGTGATTCAACTTTTCAACCGATTCAACCGACATTTGACGTCGAAAACAAACTTCCAAAAAAAGCAATACTGCAACATGTCCATATTCCATTTATTCATCCTTCGATGAGGATAACCGTCAACTTGGATTAGAGAGCTCATTTTGACGATTAGCAATAGAAAATTGAACAATAGTAATATGCTAAATAGTAGGGACAAGAGTTACAAGACCCTGCTGTACAGACGGTACATTTGCAGGTTTGGTTGCCATTCTCTCCTTGGCAATCTCCCTTCTGGCAGCCCCGTAACTTACACTCCTCACTACAGGCAGGCACGCCCGCAATTTGACAACTGTCAACACCATCTACGCTCTCCCACAGAGAAGCAAGGATCACCATCACAACCAGCAACATCGTAGTCATCTGTGTCTTCCCCATTATTCTCGCACTCTGCAACAAATACAAACAAAATATGTACTTTTTTTTGCATATTTCTGAGTTCTCATGAGTTCATCAACATTACCACATGTCATTGGAAAATTTTAATACGTAGAAATTCTTTTATTTTTGCGATTTCCTTGAAGCTGTTAAAGCAACAACCATACATGTTATGAGGCAAAGAAAATCTCATTGTGCTATTCCCTCGTACCGTGAAGGTATCCTCTGTTCCTGTATGAAGTCATGAAGTGAAGGAAGATGAGGGAAATCCTATTTTACACGTGAATTATGAGATCAATATATTTTTAAAATTTTATTTCATATATGTAAGGAAATCTCCAATAGACAAGAAAGTACACGTTATATAGATGCGTAAATGCGATTATGGAAGACACATCAGGAGAAGGTATTTGAAACGATCCATGAATTCACCATGCAATGATGCCCATCAATCCTAAGCAGATGGAAAATTTTATAAGCTCTTGCCTTGTCTTATGAAGATACGGACGATCAGAAAAGGGGTACCAGTTGCATGCGTCGTGTGAAGGAAGCGATGGGTGGTTGAAGCTCAAGTGTTTCTGTTCACGAAGTCGCAGGCGGTTTGCTGTGTCGGTGTGAGCGCGGCCGGAACTTATATAGTGGTCCATCCATGTTTTCCGCCTGTCACAGGCGTAGATTCTTCTGCGTATGTGTGCACACCCGGAAAGCGGATGCAGGTTTCTAATAGTCAACCATAATGGGACAGTTCGGTAGATGAGTACATAGTAGCAGCTTCATAAGAGAACGCTGTCTCCTCACGTCTGTTTTTCCATTAGCACATGCATGTATCAACTGTGAAGTGCTCATACTCTAGGAAGACTTATGTTTCTACATTATGTGAATCTAAAATAACATGTCGGAACTGAATCCAAGAAATACATTTATCTAAATGATCACCTGCTAATTCCACGTTTGCAACGACAGGGTCAAACTCATTAGTCTTGAAGTAGCATATAAGATTCCATGAGTGTAATCATAGATACTATAGTCCATTACTATTCTGACCCACTTTAACACAGGATTTTCCATGTCTTTCATAGGAGCTGGGTATGGAGTTCATGTATCGTCACAAATTTCAATATCTAGCTTCTTCTTAAGAGAAATGCCTCGTAAGGTTTTTCATTCAATCGCTCCATCCCTTTCACGCGGACGAATTTCCAACTGACTCACCCTTTTGAAAAGAGTATAGTTTAGAAACGCGGAACATGAATATTTTGCGCTGTAACGTGCTCATTCACCATCGACCGATGATATAGGGTTATTTACAAGGGACGACATCGAGGACGACGACGCTCGGATCTGGCATGGATATGTTCAACCTTTGTAATGTTCAACATTTGAAGCCCTCTCTGCGTTATATTCTCTGCGAAGACTGCAAACAACCGGAAAAAACGTTTCGACCGAGAGATTCGAATGTGCATTCTAGTGTCCTCATGCAAAAATAAATTTGTTAAGGTCGAAACTTTAGCGTCTGAAAACTAATTTGCAAAATTCCTCCTAGAAAACTGTCATAATTTTCTGGGTAAGGAAAGCATGGGGAATGCCACTTCGCCTTTGCAGAAAACAGCACATTTAGCTGTCTTCATTTGTTGAATTTGCCGGCATCCAACGACGACATGCAATTTTCATTCCAACCTTTTTGGTTTGATATCGGCACTTTAACTTATAAAAGGGGTATTGGAAGGCATAAGTGAACCGTGCTTATCGGGTTTTATTAGCGTCTCTTCGAATACCGTTTGTTTATTTTACGGAAAAGCCTCTGTCTTTCTTTGTAATTGCCCAAACAAGAAGCAATCAAAAGTTTCGTCAGCTAAGACGCCATATTCTTGTTATTGAGGAGATCCCAGTCGCAATTTAAAGGTTGAGAGAGCCACTCACGCCGGTGGACCCTCTCCAGCGCCGTTCACTCCCTTATATTTTTAGGCCTCAAAAATGGAACGCTGTGTAGGGGGCTCTAAAGTGCGCTGCAGACAATGGAAGAATAACGCGCAAGCTCTTAGTGGCTCTTTTTTGAGCATGCAGGGAACGTTTGTTTTCAATTTTCTTGCGATTGAGATGTTGATGGAGACGTGGACTCGTCTCTGCAAGAGATTGTGCGGTGTTGCAATGCCGGTCCATTCCTAAATACTTAGTGAAAGTCGAAGAAGCGTGCATTGTATGATGACAAGTGCATACGTTTATTGCGCATGTATTCGTTTCCTTCCGTTCCGGACCCACTTTTAACAGCTGGTACTCTCCATGCATGATATGCGTAGGGAGGGATATTGAGTATGTGGCAGAACTTCTGTGTTATTCCACAGCACAACACGTCGAGCTAGGATAAGGGAATTTTTTAAAAATCAAACTCCCAAATAGCGCATAGGTGGTAGGGCACTAGCAGCATGTCCCAATTACCAGTATTGGCTCGCCGCATTCCGGCCCGCTTAAAGGCCAGCATATTACCAGTTAGATTGTTTTTGGTGTACTATCAGCTGGGAAGGGTCCTAAAATCTCTATACATATCCGCATTATCTATAAGTCATGGCTCTGGAGCCAACTCAGAAGAGTACTCAAAAATTCAAAGATGTCCCACTGCTCCCCTATTCCGCATCCTAAATGGACCAATGAAGGAAGGGAGAGCAGAATTCGGCAATAACAAATCACATCATATACACAATTTGACACTGAATACCCAATTTCTCTTCCTTACCCTAATCAAGTGCACTTCTGAATTCTCATCCATAACTTCAGCATTTAATAATTCCCAGAATCTTATATTGCAATCAAAACATCGTAATTCCACGATTTCCTTGTACCTGTTAATAAATGGAACATTAAAAAAAAAAAACGAGGAAGAAACACTTTTGCTTAATCAGGAAGACAGGTACTTCATTGCATTTGTAAGGTGCAGGGAGCAGGGGTACCATCTAGTGGGGACTCGGGACTGCATGTATTTCCGTAATGAATCGCCGGTCATTTCTTGTAATGTGCGCGTTTCAGGCATAACATATGCATCTGGAACTTCGGAAATGAGGTGAGTTGCAAGTGCGCCATCCCAACAGCGACCTTCGCATACGAAACCAAGGAAATTGAGTTGCATATTTCTTGTGTAGATTTGTACATCTTAAACGCTAAACTCTCGCTGCTATCTAAATCGAAGAGATGGAAGCGGGGGCGGATGGAAGCGGACTTCCACATTCATTTGATAGGTAAGTTGATAGGCAAAGAGAATCAAAGACAAAGGTTTTTGCTGATATTGAGAATTACGAAACCTGCGTAATGTGATCCTCACTCATGCTGTGCAGTTTTTAAATATGCAGGGAATGGTGTGAGTCGGGGGAGGGGGGGATGAAGAAATGGAAAGCCATGATTATATTATTTAATCAAAGAATAATATCACCATCACGAGATATACAGAGGAAGATAAAAAAAAAACAGTAACTATATGGAGCTAGATGTTCATGAGAATGATAGTTCTTTCCTCTTACTGGACGAGGAAGGAAAATGCGACGGGCCAGGACTGGCTAGGGTTGGCAGTCAGGACCCTGGATCTGTTTTCCGGGTCTGCACGTGTACGCAGCAGCATCAACGCCTGTGACTGGCGGAAAACATGAGTGGATTTCCATATAAGATCGAGCTGCTCTCACCCCATCACCACAAACCCCCTGCGACTTCACCAGGAACACTTGCTTCTCAACCACCGATCGCTTCCTTCGTACGACGCATACAACAGGTACCCATTTTCTGAGTTTCTGCATCTTCAACAAAGAGAGCAAAAGCCAAGATTTTCCAACAATATTGATCAATATTCCAATATTGATAGAGCAACTTTGCATACCCTATTCAATAATCCAGTAAAAGAAATTCGCCTGATATATCTGCTATCCAGTCATTTCTGCATCTTCATATACTTTATATCGTCCATTTGAGATTCCCCTACATATATGGAAGAAAACTATATATATTGATCTCATAAATAATTTAGAACACATGATTTCCGATATGTTCCTAGTTTCATGAATTCCTATTGGAACTGATACCTTCATGCTACGATGGCATGGCATTTGGAAAGTTTGCTAGCCTAAATATCGAATGCGATATTTGTTTGAACAACTTTAAAGAAATCGCAAAAAGTATTTTTTATGTATTAAAGCTTCTCGGTGACATGTGTTAGCACTTTTGAACCAATGAGATCTCATAAAAATCCGAATGGGCGTTAGTATTTGGCATGAATGTGTTGCAGTGTGAAGAGAAAATGGGAAAGATCCAGATGGTTGGAATGCTGCTGGCAGTGATAGTGATCATTGCTTGTCTATGGGAGAGCGTGGATGGTGCAGACAGTTGTCAAGTTGGAGGCGCGACAGCCTGCAGTGATGAGTGCAAGAAGCAGGGTTGTCAGAAGGGTGAATGCCAAGGCGAGAATGGCAGCCAAGCCTGCAAATGCACCGTCTGTCCAGCGGCGTCTTGTTCCTCGTGTCCCTATTATGCTGCATATATATATTGTCGATGGTTGTTTTGCTAATCGTTAGGTTGAGTGCTTTATTCCAAGTTGACGATTTCCATCCTCTAAGAAAGAATAAATGGGAAATGGACATGCTACAGTATTGCCAATTTATTTATAAATTTCTTAGCATTAGGACAATTTCATTATAAACATTCTTCATCGCACTCTAATAAAACTAGAGAATGCCCTGAAGTATACTTTCGCCATCCTCGCGGAAGCAAGAACATGGAGATTTTCACTAATCATTTAAGTTATATGTGTCAGTTAGGTTCCTTCAGCCTGTTGATTGACAATTTTCTTGAGTGTGTGATTTGAAAGTAACTAATGATTCGGAATCCTTATTCGCTTTCCTCAGTCTTCGATCTATAAAAAGTTATCCGTTTGTACGGCTCATTTACGTGGCAAAAATTTCCCAATAAAATTAACAATAAAATATTCGACAATATGAATACAAATAAAAATAAGGACACGTGTTACAAGACGCCGCTGGACAGACGGTGCATTTGCAGGCTTGGCTGCCATTCTCGCCTTGGCATTCTCCCTTCTTGCAACCCTGCTTCTTGCACTCCTCACTGCAGGCTGTCGTGCCCCCAACTTGACAACTGTCAGCACCATCCACGCTCTCCCACAGACAGGCAACGATCACTATCACTGCCAGCAGCATTCCAATCATTTGTGTCTTCCCCATTTTCTCTTCACACTCTGCAACATATCCACGACAAATACTGACGCCCATTCTGATTTGAATGAGTTCTTATGCATTAATAACAAGAGTCATTGATATATTTTATTGCCTAAAAACATATTTTTGCGATTTCCTTAAAGCTGCTAAAGCAACTACCGAATAAGATATTTAGTCCAGCAAACTTTCCCAATGCCATGCCTTTGTTGCATGAAGGTAACATCACTTCCCATAGGAAGTGATGAAATTAGGATACATATTGCAAATCATGTGTTCCATGTCAATTATGAGATCGAAATATATAGTTGTATTCAATATATGTAAAGGAATTTCCTTTAGTCGATATGAAGAATATGAAGATGCAGAAATGACAGGTTACCAGGTATGTCAGGCGAAGTTATTTTACAGGTTTTTTTTTTAATTCAGCATGCAAGGAAGCACTATCAATCCTGAGCAGTTAGAATATTTTCTATGCTTTAGCTCTGTATGTTAAAAAATACAGAAATTCAGAAATTGGGTACCTGTTGTATGTGTCGTACGGAGGAAGCGGTCGGTGGTTGGGGCTCAAGTGCTCCTGTTGACAGAATCGGAGGGGGTTTGTGGTGTTGGGGTGAGAGCGGCCAGGTCTTATATGGAAGTCCACTCGTGTTTTCCGCCAGTCACAGGCGTATTTGCTGCTGCGTACATGAGCAGACCCGGAAAACGGATCCACGGACCCAAGTGTCAACCCTAGCCAGTCCTGGCCCGTCGCATTTTCCTTCCTCGTCCAGTAAGAGAAAGAACTATTATCCTCATGAACATCTAGCTCCATATAGTTACTTTTTTTTACCGTCCTCTGTATATCTCGTGATGGTGATGATATTATTCTTTGATTAAATAATATAATCATGGCTTTCCACTTCTTCGTCCTCCCCCCCCCCCCTCCCCCCGACTCACACCATTTCCTGGATATTTAAAAACTGTACAACATAAGTGAGGCTCACATTACGCAGGTTTCGTAATTCTCAATAGCGAACTCAATATCAGGAAAAACCTTTGTCTTTGATTCTCTTTGTCTATCAACTTACCATTCAAATGAATGCGGAAGTCCGCAACCATCCGCAACCGCTTCCATCTGTTCGAATTAGGTAGCACGGAGAAGTTAGCGTCGATCTTGTGATGATGTTATTCTTTGAATGATTCAGTTCTGGGCATCGATTTCATTCGATGTCCTGAGCCATGCTTAGCATAAATCGACGGATGAGCTTAATGACTGGGTCACAAGTGGAGGCTCACGAATAATCCAATTTTGAACTATTTTGAACGAATCAATAGGCCATTGGACGCCTAATCCGATTGATCAAGACATCGCCGTAACATAATTCCAATTCCTCGGATTTCTTCTTGCTAACAGTTAGAGAAATGTAGTTGGCTTTGTTTCCTCCCTCGTTCCTAATACTCGTATTTATTGCAAAGTATGATTACCTTTGAGTTGAGGTAACTACTGTTTCCGGGACATGAATTTCATTCCAGCCTTTTTTTTATCTTGCATATGTGGCATGGAACTATGTGAAGTCATCACGAGTTACTTCCTTTCTCTCTTCTTCTCCTACTATTTAGGATGCAAAATCTAAGCTCGAACCGTGCCACAAAAGTTTCTTGGTCGTGCGACCATTGGGCATGGCGCACCTTCATTATATGTCGCACTTGACCTTCCTAAGTAGGAAGTTATCTTTCCCTAAAATGCAATACCTATCATAGCGTCACATTTCACATTCCTTTGTCCCTTTTGACGCTCCCAAGCAGGACAGCAACGCATTTGAATTTCCTTGTCGCATTTAACTTTCTCATTATCACATTTGACATGGGAAACCTATACATGCCACAACTAATTATTTTGGCAGCTCAAAAAGCCGCGGGAACATCTTCCAGCGTTCTCAACAGTGGGCAACAGACTCGAGCTCGTCTAGTGGTGTTCAAAGTTTTCAAAGACGACCATTTTGCGAAAAATTCATTTCTTCTCCTTCGCGACGGAAGACCATGTCTCTAATCTGGCAATTCCCAGCATTCAATCGTGGATCAGCCGCGGTAAGGTCCAGAGTTAAGATGACAATTCGAGTGATACTACGAAAACATAATTATGTCTACATCACGTCATAGAACTTTCCGAGTTTTTCATGAAAACGGGCATAGAACTACTACATCTTCGGAAATTTTGAGAGAAGTACGCATACTGAAAAGGAACGACTTTTTTTTCACTTTTCTTTCAATCTCTCCATCCCTTTCCTCATTCAACCCACCCACGCCGGGAATTGTTTCCTTATAGGCGATGAGCATATATATTTCCAGGTGTAGTAGAGGTATGGGGGATGACAGAGTCTGCCGCGGATATAAATGCGGGTCATCCCTATGTAAACAGGAAAAGGATGTACCTAGGCCAGACGGTCCATGAACATTTTGCGCAGCAAAGTGAACTTTCTCAATGCGAGATGATCAGAGGTTAGTCATACGAGATACCATCAATGGCGAAGGTGATGGGAAGCGGCATGGAGTTGAAAGTAAAATAAATAGTGGCCACACCGCATTATACAAGAATAACTTTTATTTATTTAAAATTTGAATGGTTATGATGCAACAAAGAAATTCCTGAGGTATCGGGATAATGGGAATGGAGGATCTATAACTAGACTCTATTTCCTCTTTGGAATGAACTTTTGACTTATCTCGGTCGTTCTGGAGCTACTTTAACAAAGAATACTTTCCAAGTTTGATGTATTCCGACTAACGCATCTAGGGTTGTCGGGTCCATGGACGTCCGCTTGACAGAGGAAATTACGGCAACGCTCGATTTCCAAAGGATATGGATTTAAAAAAAGGAGATACTTTGAAGACCATCGTGATTACTCGCGTTGCAGAGGTATGTCGATTAGACATGGAACGTGTGTTCAAACGTAGATGGCAATTGCAATACTGGTATGGCCTCGACGCAACTGACAGGGGCTTCTACCTCTGCGATGCTGGACTATGTATTCAATTTGCGGTAGAATATTCTCTGCTGAGAAAGGCAAAATCCTTAGGTACCATAGACCAGTTTAGGGGTTAGGTTGGCTCGTTGGAGGCGCCAACGGTAGACCTTTGGGGAGAATCAATGTCTTTCGTTGTGGTTAGGCCTCGACCCAAAATGATAATTCGTATATGTAAATTTAGCTTATACGAATTATCATTTGGGGTCGAGGCCTAAATCCTATGTAAATATAACTTATATAATAGAAATGCGATGCATGCCTATGTAAATATAACTAGGCTTGCATCGCATTTTCTCCGAAATAAATTCAATTCAACCTGCAGTTTAGCATTAAGTGTTTCCCTTTGAATCCCTTTGGTTGGAGAGTTTCTTAGGGTTTGATTGTAATTCTTACGAATCTCTACGAGATGTGTCATTGCAAAGGTCACAACAAATAACCATTACTATATCTGCTTTTAATCCACAGAGATTGTATTCACATTACAACGCGGAATCTATGTACAATCAGGACTCAGAGTCATGAGAAACATGAGTCTTCTAGGTGCAAAGTACTTGACAGTAGTGACATGAATAGGCATATGAAAAAAAACAGATGAGAAAAGATACTCAAATACCAAAATGCCTACTCAATTTATTGGAATGTTGTGATATCAAAGTCGTTTGTTTACGGGAATGAAGGGAATATTCATGTGTTGCTTCAAGTTTGCTACGTTCGTTGCATTATGCGCGTTAGCATTGACCGCTGCGACAGTGGTTCCCCCATACTAGTCTGCACATATAGAGAACTTATTCATTCAAAGTATAATTTCATCAAGAGATAAACAAGGGATAAAAATATTCAATTATGCGGAGTGAGTTGTAAGTGGTTCATGAGGATGAGAATGCCTCTCCGCTCCTAGAAAGAGGATGTGAAATGAGAACACCTGGGAGCCCATTATATATGAAAGCTTCTGGAAACACCATGTTCCAGAAAGGTTGTATAGCAGTAGCCTGAATCATCTATGATCACATTTATGGAACCATAGATGCTTCAGGCCAGCTAATCGCTGTTTTTGGAACATTACTTTCAGCAGGGCAAAATTGCCAGGAAATCCATTTTCGTGTATACTGCTTCGATTCAGGTATGACGTGTTATTTGGGACAAACGTAAAATTATTTGTCATCCTGATGCAAATGGACTTGGAAGTAGTTAAATGAATATGCAAATGGGAGAACTAACGAGAAAGGGAGAGGGAGCGCGTGTGGAGCCGCGGTTATGTAGTCAAGTACCAATCTACCTATTCAATTTACAGTAATGTAGAGAAATCAAAATGATGGAGTGAAGGCGATATTAATGTGTGGGATGAATGTTACCATACATGTTGCATTATGATTGACAGCTGGGACTCTGCATCCTCTTTCCAGGTATGCACATTTACGCGCCATCATCTACGCCTGACTGGCGGAAAACATACTGTAGGTGGACTACTATATAAGATCCGGCCGCGCTTGCACCATCACCACAAACCGCCTGCGACTTCGTCAATAGAAACACTTCAGCTTCTACCACCCATCGCTTCCTCAATACGACGCATACAACAGGTATCCCTTCCCTGATTCTCCGTATTTTCGTATGACAGAGCAAGAGAGTCGAAAATGTTCCAACTTCACCGGATTGATAGGGGATCTCTGCTCATTGAATTCATGAATCTTGTCAAAGAACTTCACCTGATATATGCATGATATCCTCTACTTCCGGACCTTCATGAGATGTATTTCCTTCTCTATTGCATATTTCCTCACATATATAAAAGAGAAATAAATATTTCGATCTCATAATTTGCATGGGAAACAAAATTTCCATTTTCTTTTTAAGTGTCATGACTTCATACAGGAACTGAGGGTACCTTCATGGTACGATAGCATTGCAATTGAAAGTTTGTTAGCCTCATATCATAAACGGTCACTGCTTCGACAACTTTAGGGGAAATCGTGAAAAAAATGTATTTGTACCCCTTAACTCTTCTCAATGACATGTGGTAGTGTTGAACTTCTGAGAATTCATGGAAATCTGAATAGCCGCTATTATTTTGGTGTGGATCTCCTGCAGAGTGCGAGAAGAAAATGGGAAAGACACTGGGGATGGCTGGGATGCTGCTGGTAGTCATGGTGATCCTTGCCTGTCTGTCGAAGAGTGTAGATGGTGTCGACAGTTGTCAAATTGGGGGCGTGGCTGCCTGTAGTGAGGAATGCAAGTTACGGGGCTGCCAAAAGGGAGATTGCCAAGGAGAGAATGGCAGCCAAACCTGCAAATGCACCGTCTGCACAGCAGGGTCTTGTAACTCTTGTCCCTACTATTTAGCATATTACTATTGTTCAATTTTTTATTGCTAATAGTCAGAATGAGTTCCCTATTCCAAGTTGACTGTCCCCGTCCTCCAAGGAAGAATAAATAAAGAATAGACGTGTTGAAATATGTCATTTTCTTTTGGAATTCTGTTTTCTACGTCAAATGCTGGAAGTGTGCGTATCACATATAAAAAATGTGGGGAATTCAGCGGTTGGTCTTCGTAGGATTGTGACGAGCGCATATGGAACACATAGTCTCAGCATAATAAGAAATTGAGAAATTTTTGCAATGATATTTGACATTCGCTTCGTTCCCTTTATATTTGCAGTACCTACTTTTAGTCGGCGTTAAACCATCAAATGCAACCATTAGCCGGATGTGTTCTGCTTGATGAAGTTCCATGCCACTGAAATGCAACAAATCTCTTGGCACAGAAAAGAGATGATCGTCAATGTGATCCAAAACCATGGTAACGTTTCTTTTTGAGGCCAGATAACTTGGTTTGATCACGAGATTGGGAAAATGAAGGAGGTGGTTCCAATGAACTGGGTTCGAAGCGCACGAACATTTGCAAAAATAGATTCCCCTATCGGAAAAAAATTTTTTGCCAAAGGACTATCTTTTAGTCTACGTCAGTGGAGCCATATGGTCGTTTCAGTTTTGCTACAAACGAATGTTTATGAGGGAATACACCCCATCCAAATATCATTTTTATCACAATTTTAAAACACTTCATGCGTCATATCGGTCCAGATAATTTTTTTCATTCACAAGAATTATAACTACGTATATCATGCTTCTGCCTATAGAAAGAAGTGAGAGAAAACAGGACAGGATGATGGGCACCAATGGATTCTATTAGGTTTTGTCCTATCGAATGTCCCTGTCGCTCGGTCGCATTAAGATATACCTTCTTGAGGTGTCTTGAACACTGAATCTTGTGAGCTTTGATTTCGTTGTTCATCAGGATGAAATCTCTGCTGAATTATTTGAAAGAATATTATCCATGTATCCCTGAGCAGTTGCCAACCGTTTTTCGGACGATCACCAGGTGCGCGTTAGTAGCTCTGCCCGCTGCCAAAGTATTTATTCGTGGACAGTATCTAGGTGCTTGTGTCCTGTTAAAGAAAGCGATCAGATTCAGAAGGAGACTAAGTTGAAACGGAAAGTGTTCACTGAGACTTAGTTTTAATTTGAATGGTGCAATGAATTTCGTTTCCTTTGGAACCACACAATTATGATCCGAAGTTGTCTGCACTTGTTTTAATTACAACTCTATGCAGTAGCCCATCATCGTCGTGATCGATAGCATCGCTTGTAAATAACCTCATATCATCTGCCGTTGATAAATGTCACTTTGATTTGGAAAATATTCCGGAACCGTCTGGCCGAGCAACATCAATTTCTAATTCCCATGGATATGATCACGATTTTCTGGCTGTCTGTGGGAGATTCTGACATTTCCCTACCTCCTTGACCTTTAAAAAGGTGGATTGAAACGTTACTTTTAATTCGATTGATCTTGAGTTGAAGAAGAAAGCTTTCAAGGTAGTTGGAGGCTCGGACGCAGAGCGCATGATGTCAGGTCCTGGGAAATCTGCGCGACAGGGCAACTCATGTTGATCATTGATTCGGTTCCAAAAAAAAAACAACTAAAATGTGTATTTAGCCTGTAGTTGCTCGAGGCGATTAAGAAGTGACTGGTGTCAATCTGTATGATTCCCACCCGTCATCTGGTTCTGAAGGGAATGCGTTGTAGAGCCCATAAACCTCGAACGAACGCAAAGAAACGCCAGGATCGATTCCGCGCAATTCCACGGGAATGGATCAGGTTCTCTCCTTCCTCCGTCCCCCGCCTCTCACACTTGTTCTCCCCCGTTCATGCCCTCCGTCCCTCCGTGTGAAGGAATATCGGTCGTGCAGCAGAACTTGTGCGTCTTCCCTCCGCTTCCCACGTCGAGCGAGCGAGAGGGAAAACATTTCCAACGTTTGCCCTTCGTTTAGCAGACAATCTTTTCCATACTCTGTCGCATTAATGCAGTTAAATATGCCAACAACCTTGCTGAAGTTGTTGATCCCAACTAATCCCATTTCATCTCATCTCATCCTCATTTGTCGTATGACCGACCATACAATTTCTAAGTTTTCCGCTTGGATAGAATTGACATGATATAACGGGAACAGTTTTTACCTCTTCGTCTGTACGTTTCTGAGGAGGGGGCATTTCAATGAAAATTTAATAATATTTTTTTGCTTCCTTTTGAACTTAAAAGCGTTGAAGACGCCGATGAAAATTCCAGTTGGTTCAGCTATAGGAATGAAGGGTATAGTAGTTATGGGAATGAGTCATTCAAATTGTGAACCCCTTCTTAAGGCAAGAAAATTTAGTTGCTGAGATTAAAACAAGGGGGAATGCATTATATTTGGATATCTGAGGATTTGTAGGTTTCCCAGATTGTGCCGTAGCTGCGTATCACCGACTCGACAATGTCCATAGATTAGATGTTGCTATAACACCATCTGCAGTGAGATCCGTGGATGTTACTCGCCGTTCCAGATCTGGAACGCGTAGCCAAAGTGTCATTTGAAAATCTAGATCTTGAACGCCTAGTAATACGTTCGCGCTCCCGTTCTCCTGCAAAACGGGTAACTAAAACCCTCAAGTTTTGAAGAAAAATTCCAAGGTTATGAGGTACTGACTGGCTATAGCGGTTACTCTAGCATTATACAGTGTCAGTTGTGTGGACCATTGCTTATTTCTAGCCACTGGCAGATGAATGGAACAGGTATGTTCAAGAAAAACGCATATTTAACAAACGACCTTCGTGAACATCATGCATTGGTGATGAAACGGCACCTTAATCGAGCTTCCAAAAGCTGCTCACCCTTTAACCTTGAACGTCGAAGAACCGCATTGAGCCGGGATTGAACGTACTCTGAACTTCTTGTGTTACTTGGGTAGCGTGTTTCGCAATGGATGCAATCTTCTTCATGAAATCACTTGCTTTCCCGTACAAGGAATGCCAAGTGAGCCTTTGGACATGAAGGAGAGGGGGGGGGACTTGAAGATATTCTTTGTTTCCCCTAAATATCCCTCTGTGTTTTACTTTAATTGGTCTTAACCGCTACCTCGCCATCGTTAGGTGATCATCGAAAGCAAGACTGGAAATATGGATAACACTTATCCGGGCAAGAGGAGTCCGTTGGACCACCAAGCCTCAATTTTTCTAAACAGAATTCAAATCATTGCAGACACTTTCCTGTCATTTTTAGTATTTGTCCTTCAAGTTAAGGAGACCCTGATGCGAGAACATCATCAACCTGAAAACTTTCTAAGTGTGAGAATAAATTATTTTTTTAATTTTAGTAACGTAACCGAGCAAGGGGGTCCTAGAAGTCTTTTCAGAATCCCATGAAACATTTAGGAAACCAATGAGATATAAGAAGTTTCCATTGGAATCCTATATGATTCCTATAGGAATGCTACGGTTTTCTAGGTTTCATAAACCATGATTCCTGAGGGACCTTTTCGTAAGGGTTGCTTCGGAGCTGATGCGCGAGGATATACTATGGAGCGAATCAATTTGATCCGGCCTCTAGCAGGGAACCGAAGCGAACCACGCAAAGATTGGCAACAATATGTCAATTTCTGTGAATGCTGTGAAGCTATCTGTTCCATATGTGCTCGTCACATTTCTACAAAGGCCCGCGGCTGAATTCCACACTATTGACATGTAATAGAGAAAACTTTCCGACATTTGACAAAGAAAACATAATACTGCAATACGTACATTCTTCATTCATGCATCTTTCCAGGACGAGAACCGTCAACTTGGAATACAGAACTCGTTCGGACGATTAGCAATAAAATATTGAACAATAGTAATATGCTAAATAATAGGGACAAGAGTTGCAAGACCCTGCTGTACAGACGGTGCATTTGCAAACTTGGCTGCCATTCTCTCCTTGGCAATCCCCCTTCTGGCAACCCCGCATCTTGCACTCCTCACTACAGGCTGTCGCGCCCCCAACTTGACAACTATCAACACCATCTACACTCTCCCACAGACAGGCAAGGATCACCAAGACTGCCAGCAGCATCCCAGGCATCTGTTTCTTCCCCATTTTCTTCTCGCACTCTGCAACAGATCCACACCAAATACTAACGCCCATGCAGATTTCCATGAGATCTCTTGATTTAATCAACAATACCACGTGTCATTGAGAAGTTTCAATACGTACCAATCCTTTCTTGCGACTTCCTTAAAGCTGCTTAAGCAGTTACCGTATATGATATGGGCTAACAAACTTTCCAAATGCCAATGATATCATACATTGTAGGTATTCTCAGTTCCTCCAATAATTCCTGACATTTAATAACAAAGTGGAAATCGTGTTTTCCATGTAAATTATGAGATCAAAATATATATTTCTCTTTTATGTATGTGAGGAAATATGCAATAGAGAATGAGGTACATCTCAAGAAGATGTGGAAGTAGAGGATATCAGACATATATCAAGCGAAGTTCTTTGATTAGATTCATGAATTCAAAGTGCAAAGATGCCCTATCAATCCGGAGAAGATGGAACATTTTCGACTCTCTTGCACTGTCAAGAAAATACGGAGAATCAGGAAGGGGTACCTGTTATATTCGTCGTATTGAGGGAGCGATGGGAGGTTGAAACTGAAGTGTTTCAGCTGACGAAGTCGCATGTGGTTTGCGGTGATGGTGTGAGAGCGACCGGATCTTATATAGTAGTTTTTCGCCAGTTGCAGACGTAGAAGCTGGCGCGTAAATACGAGTATGCATACCCGGAAAGAGTGTCCAGAGTCCCAGCTATCAATCATAATGCAGCATGCATGGTAAACTGCATGGCACACATGAATATCCCCTTCATTTCATCATTTTGATTTCACTACATTCCTGTATGTCGAAATGGAAGTTTGGGACTTCAGTACACAGTAGCAGTTCCACACGAGGCCACTATCCCTTTCTCGTCTGTTCTTACAAATTCCTATTCCCATTACTGCTGTCAAGTGCTTTTGCACCTGGAAGACTCATGATTATATTAAATACATAGACTCCACGGTGTAATGTGAATATA